CCCCAAAACCCCAAAACCCCAAAACCCCAAAACCCCAAAACCCCTGGAGAATGGATGATTATTGAAAATTAATAAGTAATTTTACTCCTCTTTTTCTTTTGGCTGTTGGTAATATCTGCCCATTATGAACCCAAATAAGATCAGAATTCCTAGATATTGATTGGATAGGAACATGTTTTTTCATCTATCCACATTTTTTATATCTAGAGTGCTAATTTGCCAGGAATAATGAGAAGCAGCTCCTGCCAAAAACATATAATAAATAGGATGTAACCCAGCAAGATATCCAGCGAGGCCCATTCATCCTGTACTTAGGGCAGCTAAGGATCCAAGGATTAGTTTTGGATTCTTCTCAAACTCTATTGCACAACTCTTGAGGCCTATCTTCTTATCATAAGAGATATCTTGAAATGCATAGATGGTATCATACACTATTGTCCATAGAATCGATCCTATGTATAAAGGCCCAAGAACTTTTAGGTTGATTACATTTTTAATGGCTGCATATCCCATGAACACACCCATGTTAAAGGTTACTCCAAGCATCCCTTGGGGGTATTTAAAGAATCTTTTGAATCTTGGGTAAGCCACAACCAAAGGTACTCATAAAAGCCCGATACTGGTAACCAAAGGAGGTAGCGAGTATGCTATAGCAAAACAGGTTCCTGTGAGAGCTCCAAAGAACCCTAAAGCCTTTACCTTAGTGATCTCTCCTGTTGTAACTGGACGATATTTAGTCCTCTCAACACTCTTATCAATATCAAGATCCCTATGAAGTTAATTAAGAGCCTTACCAGTAATCATTGATTGCACAGCCTGCTGATCTAGCACTCAGAGCTCCAACTGTGAAGAGGCTCATTGTGTATAAACTGGGAAGAGCTCCTGGTACTGCTGCTAATGAAATCGACCAGAAGCATGGCAAAAGGAGTAGTTTTGTTCCAATTTGCTTATCGAACCTTGCTAGTCTGAGATAAGCATCAACTCTTTTCATAATTGGGGCATTGCTTTTAAGAATCTTCTCATTATCAGGAACGAAATACTTATCCGCTGTGCTTAGGTACCTATATGTATATTTCTGTAGGGCACTAGGCCTCACCATAGGTCTGATAATCATTGGTCTAACAAAAATTTATTAAATTAAGCAGGAATCTCTTGGGGTTTTGGGGTTTTGGGGTTTTGGGGTTTTGGGG